TTTTTTGGAAAAAAGTTTGTCAGTTTGTAGAGAGAATCTTCAAAACATGTTCCTTTCTAGCCTAATAATTCTACTTTTGGGACTTTAACCTGAAAAAAACAAGTCAAAAGTCTGGGGAAAAAAAACCCCTTGTTTTATGCTCAGAGCTGTTCTTTGCTATATTATCTGTAGGAGCAAATGTCTGGAGACAATGGGGAAACAGTTAAGTTAATTACAATATAGTTGTTAAAATTGGTAAGCAAGGACAGTTTACGCAAGGAAAGATTTAAACAGTAGTCAAATATATAGAAGCATGATTGGCAATCAAAGAATGCAAATTCAAACACCTATGAAGAAGAAGTTTATGTGGTATCTTTTACTGAGCACCACCAGCAACCCATCTTGCATTTTTTTTCTAGACAAAGAGGATGAGTAGAGCCAACTTGGAAACTTAGGTATAGTAGTTCTGTAGACCTCTCTCAGTGTACTTAAAAAAAAAACAACTTGTTTTGATTTTATACTCTTAAACCTTTCATTTTGTTTTTTAATTGTTCTTTTTATGTCATCATTATTTAATTACTATGTATTCTTTGTAGGTCATAGTTGGTGGAATAAATAAAATAAAATGAGAGGAAATCCAAACCAAAGTTAAAATTGTATAACAATTAGGGCTGCAGATGAACAAGGACTGAAAGGATCATCTACAATTTGAAAGTGTTTAATTTTTTGTCATGACTGTATTGTGGGAGAATGCTTTTATTCTTTAGCTTTGGACTTCTGTTAATCTTGCTTTAGGATTATTTGTATAATAATAATTTTAAAATTCCCTTCTTTCCCTCTCTAGAATTGAATTTCTATCTACTGACATTTACCGTTCATGATAGGTTTTTGGTCTAGTTGCTTTAGATTAAAGGTTTAGGACAATCTCATCATCACCTGTTTACCCAAGAGAAAAATTAACAGTTAATTTTTAAAGCAGTTAAAAAAAATGTTACTTTACCTATTATGGATATAGTCTCTACTAAAATGAAATATTTAAAATACTGAGAAAAGAATAACATTTAAAAAAATCATGCATAATCATATTTTGGGTGTTTTTTCAGGCTTTAAAAACCCCAAAACCCTGCTCATTATGGAAAATTTCAAATACAAAAGGAGAAAGAAGAGTACATTGAACCCTATACATTTGTCTCCTAGTGTTAGCAATCATAAAATCATAGCTAACCTTGTGTTATCTCTGCTTTCACACTAATTCTCTCCTTTTCAGCATGGGTTATTTTAAGCAATTCCCAGACACATTATTTCATCAGTATTTTAGTCTATTTTAAAAAACACCATTTTCACATCAAAAAGATTAATAATTTGTTAAAATTACCAAATAGCCAATTAATGTTTAGATTGCCCCAATTGTCTCATTAAAAAAAGTTTGAAATAGTTTGTTTAAATCAGGATCCAGACAAGATATACACATTGCATTGATTGATAATTTTTTTAAAAAATTTAATTTTGCAATAATTTTAGATATACAGGAAAAGTACAAAAATGATAAGAGTTCCTATATAACTCCTGATGTTAACATTTTATATTAACTGTGGTATACTTATTAGGACCAGGAAATTAACACTGATACAATAGTATTAGTTAGTCTGCAGAATATATTTGAATTTTGCCAATTTTCCCATCAGTGACCCTTTTCTGGTCCAGGATCCATGTGGCACTGAATTGTGTTTCCTTAGTCTTGTCTAATTTGGGACAGTTGCTCTTTCTCTTTCATGACCTTGACGGCTTTGAAGCGTACTGGTGAGTTGTTTTGTGAAATGTTAATAAATTTGGGCTTGTCTGATGTTTCTCTTATGATTAGTTTGAGGTTATAGATTTTTGGCAAGAATAGCACAGAATTGATGTGCTCATCTCCATGTGTCATATTTGAAGGCACATAATGTCAATCTGTCCTATTACTGGTGAGGTTAGTGTTAGTCACTTGGTTAACATGGACTTTTCTCCACTATACAGGTACTGTTTTATTCCTTTACAATTAAAACGTATTTTATGGGGGGAGATTTTGAGACTATAAATATCCTGTTTCTTGTCATACTTTCAAGAATTCTAGCATCCATAGACAATTCTCACCAGCAACAGTTATTACTACAGTGTTTACCTATTTGTTATTTTCTATTTCCATCTCTCCTTCTACACTTACTAGTTGTTAAGTCTACTGTAAGGAAGAGCTATCTTCTTCCTTCTCCTGCATTTATTTGTTATTTATTTGTTTGTATTAGCATGGATTAATGGATCTTTGTCTTATTCTATAAGTTGTAAATCATTACTATCATTATTTGTTTTATTGCTTAAACTGACCCAGATTTGGCTATTGGGAGCTCCTTCAGATTGATTCCTGTGTCCTTCCAACATGACCAATGTTTCCATCATTTTTTGAGCAATTCCTTGTTTTTTTAGGATCACAAAATATCTTGGGCTCATCTTGTATTTTTTCTGCCCCAGGCCTGGAATCAATAATTTTTTCAAGGAATGCTGGTTTCTTTTGTGATATATAGAATGATATTAAGAAACCAAATATGAATGATAGATATCCTCATTACTACTGGATTGTCCTTGCATCTAGGCCTTGTCAGTGAACAGAGCTAGGAAATGTATATGTGTATTGACAAATGCATACAGTCTCTCTCTCTCTCTCTCTCTCTCTCTCTCTCTCTCTCGTTTGTGTATGTGAGTGTCTAATCATGAATTTATACTGATTCTACAGAGTTCATTCTTGGCTTCCATAACTTTTCTTATTGTTTAATCCACAGATTCTCTCTCCCAGTGTAATTTATTTGTGGAATAATTTGGGCCATTTGTTCTTTAGTGTTTTCCGCGTTCTGGATTTTGCTGATTATCTTTGTAATATCATTTAACTTGTTCTGCTGACTCTATTTCTAGTAAATTGGCATTTTAGACAAGATGCATGATCAAATTCAGGTTTACATTTTTGGCAAGATTACACCATAAGTATAATACTTCCAGATATTGCTGGTCCCTGTTTTTGTGATATTGCTACCTATTGATGATTATTTGCAATGATAATCATTTGCAAATGATAATAATTTAATTTCATTATTCCTGTTTTTATAATTGAATACTTCTATAAAGAGAAATTTGGTTTTTTTATCACCTGTTTAGTTACCCTGAGGTAAAGTTCACACAGGAAAGTCAAAATAAGTGTTCTGTAGAATTCTCTAAAAGTTACTATATTAGTTTCCTGTTGTTGCTGCAGTAAATTACTACGAACTTATACAATACAAATTTATTACCTTATAGTTCTGGGAGTTAGGAGTCTGTCTGAACTTGATCTCGTTGGGCTAAAATCAAGGTGTTGGCAGGGCCACATTCCTCCTGAAGGCTCCAGGGGAAAGTCAGTTTCCATGCCCTTTCCAGCTTCTAGAGGCTGCCTGATTTCTAGATCTGTGGCTCTTTTCTGTCTTCAAAGCTAGCAATATACTTGCATATTTGCAGGTGACACTGATTATGCTATTCTAGGGAATACAGTTTGAGAACCACTATTGGTAGGAAATGGTATTTAGAGACTACAGTCTGGATACCAGGGAAGACATCGATTCTAACCTTTTTTTCAGTGAAAGGAAATTAAAGAAAATATAAGTTCATATTGATATTTCAAATTCAAATTTGGAATTGCAAGTTTTAACTTCTTTTATGTTTGTATTTATTTTCTCTTATGTTTAAAGTCTTGGTTCTTATGACATCAATAGTTATTTATCTAATAATATATATGTTATATATATAAACAGTTTCAGAATAACAATACCAGTGTTATTACTTACAATATGATTGCTTAAAAACAGCTTAAGAGTTTTGGCAGTCTCTTTTATCCTTAGAGAATTATCCCATTAGGAATGTACAAATTATTCTGCTTTAAAGTTATTGAAATGATTTCTCTCTGTTTGATTGACCAATCATCTTTTTACAAAGTTGGATTTGTTTGCTCTGCTTTCAGTTTTAGGAGATTTTTATTTTTAAGGTAACTATGTAAACATTTAAATGATCTCAATGTCATGTCTGTAAAATGAGTTTTAGTCTCTTTACCTCTTCTATGTTGCTTTCTCTTATACCTTATAGGCGATCATTTAATTTGTTTTATGGTTAATTAAATAGCAATATGCGATCCATACTTATTTCTCTTGGGTCTCCCCCTCTTCCTCCACTACCTGCCGCGGCCACACTCTTTACAGTATATTCTGAAGATTACTTTAGGGCAGTATATTTATAGCAACCTCCTCATTCTTTCTCTTTTATAGCTTAAGAGTGCTCTGTTGTGAGAATGTAACATAGTTTACTCCTCTATTGGTGGACATTTGTGTTACTTACAACCTTTTGCTGTTATGAATAGTTCTTCAGTACTACAAATAGCACATATTTTAAGGTAGTCACAGTCATACTGTATACTGTTTTTTTCCCATACCATGGAAAAACATGAGCATTTTTATGTTATTATAAATTTTTTGTAAATGATATAAAGATGATTTTTTTCAGATTATGAAAGCAATACAGGATAATTTAGAGATTTTGGAAACAGAAAAATTAAAAAGTGAAATCAACTGAAAAATCACCCATAATCCTTCTACTTTTGTATAAACACTTAGAAAACAATTCGCATCTTATAATATTTATGCAGTTTGGCGTCCTAGATTGTTTTTACTCACAATCGTACTTTAAAAAAAAATACTGTACTCTTTATTTCTCTGTTGTTGGCTACCTAGTTTCTGTCTAGTTTTTTTAGTAATGTAAATAGTGTTGTGATAAATATCTAGCATAAAGCTTTCCCCAAATTGCAGATTATTATGTTGGTTTTGTAAGACTTTAAATGAGAAGGAAATATACCTCTGTTAAGTACATCTATTATAGCACTGCTATCTTACAACAGTAATTTAACAAGTCAAACATGTAAGACATTGTCACCTTGAAATTTTTGTTAAGTAAATTCCATTTTTTTCCCCTTCTGGTAGGACCTTAGAAATGAAGTTGAAAAATTACGCAATGAAGTGAATGAAAGAGAAAAGGCATTGGAGAATCATTACAAGAGTCTTTTGAGTGAAAGTGATAAAAAATTGCATAGTCAAGAGCAAGTGATTAAACATCTAACAGAAAGTACCAATCAGAAGGACTTGTTGCTACAGGTACCATAACTTTTCCTCTTTTGTATTTAAATATTTGATTTAGCACGAACAAGTGTTTTATTTCTAACTCTTTTGCAGGAGCATTTATGATCACCATCATCATTGCTATGTTTCAGAGCACTTTAAAGCTTTCTTTATGTCATTTGGACCTCAGCCCCTCGGGAGGTAAATTTGGAGAAACAGAAGCTCAGAGGAGGGAAGGAATTATCCTGGGTCATGTGACTAGTAAATGGCAGAGCCTAGATCAGACTCCGGCCTGTTTTACCCCTAGTACTTGGCACACTTCACTGAGGTACTTCTGTTGCAAGTGCTTTTTTTTTGTACTGTGCCCTTTCACTCCTCTGTACTTCTAATTGTCCCTTTTTGTCTTAGAATTCCCTTTTCGTTTGATCATGTAATAAATTTTTGAGATTCTATTCAGGCCTATGGAAACCTCATTAAAATAACAGTGAAGGAATATGAAGGTATAAATCCACAAGGGCTAACTAGGAGAATGGGAGCAGGTACAACAGTAGGTGTGAGTTGTCAACAAAATGCTGGATAAGTGGATGGGCAAGTGGTAACTGCATAGAATTCTACTTTGTCCACTGTGCTACATGCCTTTGGCAGGCAAAACCAACAAGAAGCAGCTGATTTGTGCTACAGAGCCCAACAGGCATTGACTGTACCTGGTACTTTTGAAAACAGGACATTTGGCTGGAATTCTAAGCAGTTATAGGTGACCCTCTTCTCACCAACAGGAGTTGCCTGGAGACCTTAAAGCAGAGAACTTAGGTTTGAGGGTCACCAGATGCAACTGAAAGCAGGAGTGGATCACTTGAATGAACATGGGGATGGTGGAAGAGTGTGCATACCCAGCTGTGAGATTCCTCTACAGAGAGAAACAACTGGGAGATGCTGGGGGTCCTCTAGCAAAACAACTAGGTCCCCAACTGAGCATCTCACAGCGTGGCCTCCTTTTCATGCTCACAGAGATACTGAGCACTTTTAATCCTTAAAAGTAGGTAGATGGCCTGAGTCTACCAAAAAAGAGAAAAGTATTTAAGAGAAAAGAAAAAGGCCAGAACAGACAGAACAAAGAAACATAAAGCACAAACTGTGGAAGGAGGAGAAGAAACCTAGACATCTTAAAAAAAAACAAAGAAAAAAAACAAAAAAGGAAAACCCAAATTCAACACTGTAGCACCTTTAGATAAGAAATAAGATCAGGAACTGATAAAAAAAGATATTTGGAAAAGGAGAAAGTCCTGTTGGAAATTGAAAACATAATTGCAAATATAAAAAGCTTAATAGAAGAGTTAGAAAAGTTGGAAGATAATGTTAAGTCTGCCAGAATTAAGCAAACAAAAAGATGGGAAAATGAGAGGATTGATTCAAGAGGTCCAAAATATAATTAACAGGTGATGGAATAGGTAAAGCAGGGGGAAGGAAAATTTCAAATAGGAGAAAATCTCCCAGAGTGGAAAGACAGCCATTTCTACATTGAAAGGGCTTGCTCCATCTCTAGCACAAAAAAATGAAGAAAAAAAAAAAGACCCATACCGCAATGCATGCCATTGCAAAATTTTAGAACACAGGATCTGGAAAGCTTCCTCAAAGAAGAGAATACAGGTCACATACAAAGAACCCAGACTTGAAATGACATCAGACTTCTCAGCAGCAACACTGGAAACCAGAAGACAGAGCAATGCTTTCATATTTTGAAGAAAAGTGAATTCTAGTCCAGCATTCTGTACTCAGCCAAGCCGTCAGCAAGTGTGAGTGCAGAATTAAGGCATTTTCAGATATTCAGTGCCTAACATCATCTGCCTCCTGTGTACTCTTTGCAGGAAGCTCTTGGAGGATGATTCCATATAAATGAAGGAGTAACCAAAAGACAGAGAGACATAGGATCCAGAAAGTAGGGAGTGCACCTGGGATGTGGTGAAGGGTGACATCTGAGCTGTTTATATAACGAACCCAGATTTGGGCTATTGAGAGAGCCCAAATTCCGTTGGGATTTCTCCAAGAAACCAAAATGCAAGTGATCAATTTTCTGACATATTTGACTCTACTGAGAGGACTTTTTAAGTTCTTTTAGAGAGTTTAGGAGATAAATTGACATTTAAGTACATAATTTTATGAACTAAGTAAGCAAATAGAATAAAACAGTTACAATTCCAAGAAAAGTACAGGATTGAACATGAATGGAAATGTAACCATGGAACACCATATGGCTGAGCAAGGAGCAGTATTTGTGTGGTTGTAATAATATAAATGTGAAATCATGACTTAACTAAAATTGTGATGTAATTATTAGGGAAAGTGTTGAGTGTAGAAGATGTAAGGACAATCCTTATACATCTATGACAGGAGCCAATAAAGTCTGAACTTAAGAAACCAAGAAATGTGAGTAAGCATGTGGTATAGGAGCATGGAGATGAATAGTAGAAAGAACAACTAAAGAGTTGAAAGTTGTTTTTTTTCTGGGAGTGGGACTTAGAGGTGAGAGAGGAGAGATGCCATTTAAACCTAGTGGCACTGTTTGACTGTTAAACTGTATGTATCTATAATTGGACTTTTAAAAAATGAAGTGTAATTTAAGCACAACTGTATGATGGTAATTCTAGGAAGTCAGTGTTGGTCATTTGATTCCTAGTTCTTTATATTACAGTTTAGTGGGTTTTTAATAAAGAATTGCCTCTGCTTCTTTCTTGTTTGTGTTCACCTAATTTCTTATAAAAGTTTGACATGATAAATTAATTCTACTGGGTGCTTAGGAATAGGATATGGTTTCTGCCCTTGATTTCTGACAGAGAGTGGCTAGAATTCTTCTTTAGGAGTTACCAGGTTTTAAATGGTTAGGAATAGATTCTGTGCTTGAACTTGGTCAAAAGACCAAAGATATGGTCTCCAGTCCTGTTCCTGTTGTTGAATGTCAGATCTTCTGAAGTGGGGTCAGTGATGGGAATTGTTTTGTGTATCATCATGAAGGAAACTTTCATTTGTGACCATACCCTAAAGCAATATTTTTCTTTCTGGAAATCAAATATTCTTGTAGATATGAAAGTTTCAAGTTTTGTCAAATTTGTAACATTTCAAGAGAGGTAGACTTTATTGGGTTTTGATGTATAAACCCTCCAATCATTCCAGTAAGCCTGCAGGATAGGAAACAGACCCAATGATCACACCCTAAGCAGGATGAACTCAGGCTTGGAACCAGTTCTATTGGATCTGAGCCTAGACCTTGTCTTCTGCTGAAAGGCATTCACAGTGGTGGCGAGTGAGGGGTGTTTGTAACAGGTGCCACCATCCTTGGCTCTGCCTTATGGGCATGCTGCTGTTCTTCAAGATGTAATAACATAGAAATAGAGTTGCATAACAGTTTTGTAATTGCCTAGTATTTGGGGATGATGGAAATTATTTAGGAGACATATTGGTATTGTGAAAAAAGAAAGTATTCTCCTTAGTGAGTTTGGGACAGTCTCTTTCTTGATGATGAGTTTCTTATAATTTGTTTCATTTCCTTAGAAACTCGGTGAAAAAGATTTGGAAGTAATACAGCAGAATCATTACTTAATGACTGCAGAGGATCTCAAGTTCAGGAGTGAAGGCTTAATAACAGAAAAGTGCTCTTCTCAGTTGTCACCAAGCAGCAAAATCATCTTCTCTGAGGTAGGCCTGACTGAAATTGGACGTTCACATGTGAATGTATTCATATTCTTTTCCGAAACATTTTTGATAACTCCTTTGATCTAGAGATCCTCAAATGCCTTCTTGCTGATAATTGAGTCTACAACAGGTAGGAAGAGGAATCCTTAGCTTCCCATCTCCCAGGTGAATATCCTTTAGCTGAGCATTAGTATTTGCACATAAAACTGAGAAATCACAGTGTGTTAAATGGGAGCCCCGTTTGCTCTATCAGGGTTTACCTCTTAAGAACCAGATAATCCCAAGTGTTTAGTAAGTTTTGTAGTTTAAGTGCACATGAAAAATGGCACAGCAGGCCCTTCCTCATCTGGCCCCAAATTATCTTTTTAATCTAATTTTCTTTCATCTTCAGTAATACTAAACTTCTTAGGGATTTCTGACTAAATGGATATCTTTGGGCCTTTGAATGTGCTGTTCCATCCATCCAGAATGATTTTGTTCCTTCCTTGTTTATCTGCTGACTCCTGAACACCCCTGCAGGTGCCACTATAGTGTCACTTCCTCTATGGAGCCTACCCTGATCCTGCGTGGTAGTAGGGTTCCCCCTTCCTCCTCTATCATAGCACTTATTCTGTGTGTTGGAGTTACAGGATCCTCCTTTTTGCTTGTCCTCACCCGAGCTCTTGTGCAGCACCAGGGACAGGCACTTCAGGGATAGGGAACTGGCACATGCTGTGAATCCCGATGCCTAGCCCATGGCCTGGCTCTGTAAATGTTTGTTGAGTGAACGAATGAGTAATGCAACTAGGCAGCCACATCTGGGAAAGGAAAAGAATTAACTGTCGGCCAAGTATTTTTTTTTAACTTGGCTTTAATTAAGTTCATATATTCGGAAGATAGAGAACTCTTACACAAATTAGTTTTCTGATGAATGGCTCTGATTGTGACTTGTGGTTTTGTGAGGGGTGATTCTCAAAATAATTAACAACTGGTGCAGCATGGGCATCGGCCATCAAAACAGACTCAGACAGTAGCAGTAGGGCTGCAGTGGGGACCTGGAGACCTGCCCCTGTGCCAGGCACCAACCCTGTGGCTGTTAGATATGGGGAGTTCACAAGGAGGGGTCAATGCAGTTGGAATGACTGAAGTGAAGGGACCATGGTTTGTTTTCCAACAGGAATAGACATGTTTCAGTATTTTAGCAATCAGTACTAGCCATTGTGTTGTGTTTCAGCTCAGCATCAGACCTGATCCTGGGGGCATCATTGGCTAAACAGTTGGAGCTCTTTCTTAATTCTGACCATTTGTGTATTTGCATTTTGCTGTTTATCTTGAGTGTCAGCATAGACTGGTGGAGCCCTTGGGCTAGTCCAGGAATCTGGATGCCTGGATTTCTCTTTTGGCTCTGTCATTTCACTAGGTAACCTTGGGCAAGTCCGAACTAAATCTCAGGAGGCTAATATTTTGTGTAAGGCACAGTCTGTTTTGCAACAAAATGGCAGTCCATCAGTTTGTTTAGATGGAAATATCTTTACTAATTTGAATACATTGTTAGTTAAACTTTGCTAATTTGAATCACAGTCCTGTAAAAAGTATCTAAATGTTGAGCAAAGCCTTTATAAATTTATTGAACATGTTGAGTCTTTATATTTAATTTCACTAATTTTATTATCTGTACCATTTTGTTTTAAGTTTTTTTGTTTTAGGTGATATCTGTGCTTCATATAACCACAAGTATAAAAATCATTGCCTGGCCATTTTGGTAATATTCAGATCCTGGTGATGTTTAAATTACTTTGCAAAATACCTAAGTGTTTGAGCAAAGGTTTTAATTCTGTTCTGCAGGACTAATTGCAAAGTGTAGATAACGAGTTATAAATCATCACGTAAGAATTAAAAATTTCTAGGTATCAATTCAAGAAATTTCACTTGTGGCAGCTGTACAGTTTTTTTCTCCCCCCCAAGCAGGGTGTGCTTTTCAGGTTGTAGTTCTTTCTTTGTAGAAAGCATGGATTTCTTCTGTTGCGCCCTTGGCCATTTTTTGTTGATTTAGGATTTATCTTCTACCTACTCCTACAAAAATCTTGAGGCTGTGATGATGTCTCTGTAGACTCTGGGCAGTCTGTTTTCCTTCTAATCATTGTGTGATCCTGAGAATTAATGCTCGATGACCAGGGGATTGAAGAATAGAGAGTAAAACACATACTGACCATATTTAACTTGCTGCAGCCAGAGAGATTTATAGCGTGGTTATTGACATGTTGGGACATTGCTGCTGAATTTTCTAAGTATTAAAATTTATGTCTTTGTTGCAGGGCTGTGACATAGCTACTGAAATAGATGCCATCTATCTACCAGGCCACTAAATTGCCCTGATTACCAAGAAGTGATCCATTAAGCTTTCTCTTTATATGTCTGCTGCCTTTTCTGATGTGGTCTGCACATTACACGTGTTTCCTTCAAGTCATTAAGGAAACTGTGGTAGAGTAGAAAATGCCTGGCTTTGGTGTCTGAATGCCAGTCTTGCTGCTTACTAGTTCTGTGACTTAATCTCTCTGAAACTCACCTTCCTCACCTGTAAAGTGGGCAATTATATGCCTGCCTTTTGGAAATCAGAAATAATATATCAGTTAAAGCTGATGAAAACAGTGAAGGAGAATATCGATTGGTACTAGGTAAGACAAGCAGCCATACTTTGGGGAGGGTGAAAACTGGCAGCCCAATGGACCTTGTAGCAGAGAAGTCCTAGACTCTAGGACTCTTTGATGTGAATCAGACATAGTGATTCCCAGTTGTCTGGTGTCTTGGCTTAGATCTCAGTTCCTGGGAGAGAATTGTACTGGTTTTGTGTGGGCCCAGGCCTGGCTCACAAGGGAGAGGAGTCTTTCTGGGATTCAGTCCTGTGTTTTAGGGACAGTTTTCAGATTAGGCCAGGGAATCTGTTGAGTGAGGCAGTCATGACAAACATACGGCAGAACCAGACTCACAGCAGGTGTGTGGCAGTGGTGAGTCTTCTCTGTAGTGTGAGGCCTTCTGTATGGGTTGCTTCTTATTTGGAGGGGTGGGGGCGTGGGGGTTGGCTGCACCTGCCAAGCAGGTGCTTCTCATCACCCCCCCCCCCCCCCCCCCC